ACACCGTACACACCACACAACAACAACAACAACAACCGCCATTCGCCCCGCTACACCACCGCTCCCCACACAGACACGCACACACACAGACACACCGTACACACCACACACAGACAACAACAACAACCGCCATTCGCCCCGCTACACTACCGCTCCCCACACAGACACACGCACACACACACACACACACCGTACACACCACACAAACACAACAACAACAACAACCGCCATTCGCCCCGCTACACCACCGCTCCCCACACAGACACACGCACACACACACAGACACACACCGTACACACCACACACAGACAACAACAACAACCGCCATTCGCCCCGCTACACTACCGCTCCCCACACAGACACACGCACAGACACACCGTACACACCACACACAGACAACAACAACCGCCATTCGCCCCGCTACACTACCGCTCCTCACACAGACACACGCACACAGACACACCGTACACACCACACAACAACAACAACAACAACCGCCATTCGCCCCGCTACACCACCGCTCCCCACACAGACACGCACACACACAGACACACCGTACACACCACACACAGACAACAACAACAACCGCCATTCGCCCCGCTACACTACCGCTCCCCACACAGACACACGCACGCACACACAGACACACCGTACACACCACACAAAGACAACAACAACAACAACCGCCATTCGCCCCGCTACACCACCGCTCCCCACACAGACACACACAGACACACGCACACACACACACCGTACACACCACACAACAACAACAACCGCCATTCGCCAACTGAGTGGCGGTGACGGCACTTGCCCCGACGGCCTACTGCAGGCGACGCGCGGGGGGGCTTGGTGCGTCTCTGCGTCTCTCTGTCTCTGAACCCAATTCCGAGACGTGCACCGCCCCTGCGGGCACCCAAGCGGGCCAACGTTTCCGCAGTGCCCATCGGCGTCAACGCCACCCTCCACGGCCCACGCGGGAGTGGGCGACAGAGAGGTAACCTCTGGTGCACGCACAGCAGAGGGCAGCGTCTCACGCTCGCTAGGGACACATCCACGTGCATCGGGTCCTGTCAGTGGTAGGGGGTGGCGATGGTTGTTGTTGTTGTTGTTGCTGTGTGTGTGGTCTAGCCTAGGGGCACCCCCAGTGGCAGCTGTCCCCGTGCATCGGTCCTGTCAGTAGTAGGGGGTGGTGATGATTGACTGCTGTGTGGTCTAGCCTAGGGGCACCCCCAGTGGCAGCTGTCCCCGTGCATCGGTCCTGTCAGTAGTAGGGGTGGCGATGGTTGTTGCTGTGTGGGTCTAGCCTAGGGGCACCCCCAGTGGCAGCTGTCCCTGTGCATTGGTCTGTCAGTAGTAGGGGTGGTGATGGTTGTTGCTGTGTGGTCTAGCCTAGGGGCACCCCCAGTGACAGCTGTCCCTGTGCATCAGTCTGTCAGTAGGAGGGGTGGTGATGATTGTTGTTGTTGTATGGTCTAGCCTAGGGGCACCCCCAGCGGCAGCTGTCTCTGTGCATCAGTCTGTCTGTAGTAGAGAGTGGTGATGGTTGACTGCTGCTGTGTGGGTCTAGCCTAGGGGCACCCCCAGTGGCAGCTGTCCCTGTGCATCAGTCTGTCAGTAGTAGGGGGTGGTGATGATTGACTGCTGTGTGGTCTAGCCTAGGGGCACCCCCAGTGGCAGCTGTCCCTGTGCATCAGTCTGTCAGTAGTAGGGGTGGTGATGATTGCTGCTGCTGTGTGGATCTAGCCTAGGGGCACCCCCAGTGGCAGCTGTCCCTGTGCATCAGTCTGTCAGTAGTAGGGGTGGTGATGATTGCTGCTGCTGTGTGGGTCTAGCCTAGGGGCACCCCCAGTGGCAGCTGTCTCTGTGCATCAGTCTGTCAGTAGTAGAGGTGGCGATGGTTGTTGCTGTGTGGGTCTAGCCTAGGGGCACCCCCAGTGGCAGCTGTCTCTGTGCATCAGTCTGACAGTAGTAGGGGTGGTGATGATTGTTGCCGCTGTGTGGGTCTAGCCTAGGGGCACCCCCAGTGACAGCTGTCTCTGTGCATCAGTCTGTCAGTAGTAGGGGTGGTGATGGTTGTTGTTGCTGTTGTATGGTCTAGCCTAGGGGCACCCCCAGTGGCAGCTGTCCCTGTGCATCAGTCTGTCAGTAGTAGGGGGTGGTGATGGTTGTTGCCGCTGTGTGGGTCTAGCCTAGGGGCACCCCCAGTGACAGCTGTCCCTGTGCATCGGTCCTGTCAGTAGTAGGGGTGGTGATGATTGACTGCTGTGTGGGTCTAGCCTAGGGGCACCCCCAGTGGCAGCTGTCCCTGTGCATCAGTCTGTCAGTAGTAGGGGTGGTGATGGTTGCTGCTGTGTGTGGGTCTAGCCTAGGGGCACCCCCAGTGGCAGCTGTCTCTGTGCATCAGTCTGTCAGTAGTAGGGGGTGGTGATGGTTGCTGCTGTGTGGTCTAGCCTAGGGGCACCCCCAGTGGCAGCTGTCCCTGTGCATCAGTCTGTCAGTAGTAGGGGTGGTGATGATTGTTGCTGCTGCTGTGTGTGGGTCTAGCCTAGGGGCACCCCCAGTGACAGCTGTCCCTGTGCATCAGTCTGTCAGTAGTAGGGGTGGTGATGATTGTTGCCGCTGTGTGGGTCTAGCCTAGGGGCACCCCCAGTGGCAGCTGTCCCTGTGCATCAGTCTGTCAGTAGTAGGGGTGGTGATGATTGCTGCTGTGTGGTCTAGCCTAGTGGCACCCCCAGTGGCAGCTGTCCCTGTGCATCAGTCTGACAGTAGTAGGGGGTGGTGATGATTGCTGCTGCTGTGTGGGTCTAGCCTAGGGGCACCCCCAGTGGCAGCTGTCCCTGTGCATCAGTCTGTCAGTAGTAGGGGTGGTGATGACTGCTGTGTGTGGGTCTAGCCTAGGGGCACCCCCAGCGGCAGCTGTCCCTGTGCATCAGTCTGTCAGTAGTAGGGGGTGGTGATGGTTGCTGCTGTGTGGTCTAGCCTAGGGGCACCCCCAGTGGCAGCTGTCCCTGTGCATCAGTCTGTCAGTAGTAGGGGTGGTGATGATTGTTGCTGCTGCTGTGTGTGGGTCTAGCCTAGGGGCACCCCCAGTGACAGCTGTCCCTGTGCATCAGTCTGTCAGTAGTAGGGGTGGTGATGATTGCTGCTGCTGTGTGGATCTAGCCTAGGGGCACCCCCAGCGGCAGCTGTCCCTGTGCATCAGTTTGTCAGTAGTAGGGGGTGGTGATGATTGACTGCTGTGTGTGGGTCTAGCCTAGGGGCACCCCCAGTGGCAGCTGTCCCTGTGCATCAGTCTGTCAGTAGTAGTGGGTGGTGATGATTGTTGCTGCTGTGTGGGTCTAGCCTAGGGGCACCCCCAGTGACAGCTGTCTCTGTGCATCAGTCTGTCTGTAGTAGAGGGTGGTGATGGTTGACTGCTGCTGTGTGGGTCTAGCCTAGGGGCACCCCCAGTGGCAGCTGTCCCTGTGCATCAGTCTGTCAGTAGTAGGGGGTGGTGATGATTGACTGCTGTGTGGTCTAGCCTAGGGGCACCCCCAGTGGCAGCTGTCCCTGTGCATCAGTCTGTCAGTAGTAGGGGTGGTGATGATTGCTGCTGCTGTGTGGGTCTAGCCTAGGGGCACCCCCAGCGGCAGCTGCCCCTGTGCATCAGTTTGTCAGTAGTAGGGGTGGTGATGGTTGTTGCTGTTGTATGGTCTAGCCTAGGGGCACCCCCAGTGGCAGCTGTCCCTGTGCATCAGTCTGTCAGTAGTAGGGGTGGTGATGGTTGACTGCTCTGTGGGTCTAGCCTAGGGGCACCCCCAGTGGCAGCTGTCCCTGTGCATCAGTCTGTCAGTAGCAGGGGTGGTGATGGTTGCTGCTGTGTGGTCTAGCCTAGGGGCACCCCCAGTGGCAGCTGTCCCTGTGCATCAGTCTGTCAGTAGTAGGGGTGGCGATAATTGCTGCTGCTGTGTGGGTCTAGCCTAGGGGCACCCCCAGTGGCAGCTGTCCCTGTGCATCAGTCTGTCAGTAGTAGGGGGTGGTGATGGTTGTTGCTGTGTGGTCTAGCCTAGAGGCACCCCCAGTGGCAGCTGTCCCTGTGCATCAGTCTGTCAGTAGTAGGGGTGGTGATGATTGACTGCTGTGTGGGTCTAGCCTAGGGGCACCCCCAGTGGCAGCTGTCCCTGTGCATCAGTCTGTCAGTAGTAGGGGTGGTGATGATTGACTGCTGTGTGGGTCTAGCCTAGGGGCACCCCCAGTGGCAGCTGCCCCTGTGCATCAGTCTGTCAGTAGTAGTGGGTGGTGATGATTGTTGCTGCTGCTGTGGGTCTAGCCTAGGGGCACCCCCAGTGGCAGCTGTCCCTGTGCATCAGTCTGTCAGTAGTAGGGGTGGTGATGATTGTTGCTGCTGCTGTGTGTGGGTCTAGCCTAGGGGCACCCCCAGCGGCAGCTGCCCCTGTGCATCAGTCTCAGTAGTAGGGGGTGGTGATGATTGCTGCTGTGTGGTCTAGCCTAGGGGCACCCCCAGTGGTAGCTGTCTCTGTGCATCAGTCTGTCAGTAGTAGGGGTGGTGATGATTGCTGCTGCTGTGTGGGTCTAGCCTAGGGGCACCCCCAGTGGCAGCTGTCTCTGTGCATCAGTCTGTCAGTAGTAGGGGTGGTGATGATTGACTGCTGTGTGGGTCTAGCCTAGGGGCACCCCCAGTGGCAGCTGTCCCTGTGCATCAGTCTGTCAGTAGTAGGGGGTGGTGATGATTGCTGCTGCTGTGTGGGTCTAGCCTAGGGGCACCCCCAGTGGCAGCTGTCCCTGTGCATCAGTCTGTCAGTAGTAGTGGGTGGTGATGATTGTTGCCGCTGTGTGGGTCTAGCCTAGGGGCACCCCCAGCGGCAGCTGTCCCTGTGCATCAGTCTGTCAGTAGTAGTGGGTGGTGATGATTGTTGCTGCTGCTGTGTGTGGGTCTAGCCTATGGGCACCCCCAGCGGCAGCTGCCCCTGTGTGCGTGCGACCACCTCCCCCCTCACCTGGGCGCCCGCTGGCCACGCGTGTCCCCCTGCGACTGAGCGGAAGACGTCCGGCACGAGGCAAGCGGTGACCAGCAGCACCGTGCCCAGCCACAGCGAGAGGCTGGACAGCAGCTCGGCAAACACGCCCCGCATGCCCTGTGCCTTAAGCAGCGGCCTGCGGCGTTGCGCGCACGGCATCACACACAGACACACACAGACACACACACACACACACAGACACACACACACACAGACACACACACAGACACACGCACACACACACAGACACACACACACACACACACAGACACACACACACACAGACACACACACACACACACAGACACACACACAGACACACACACATACACACAGACACACACACACACAGACACACACACACACACACAGACACACACACAGACACACACACACAGACACACATACAGACACACACACACACACACAGACACACACATACACACAGACACACACGGCATCACACACACACACAGACACGCAGACACACACACAGACACACACACACAGACACACACACACACACAGACACACACACAGACACACACACAGACACACACACAGACACACACACGCACACACACATGCACACACACACACGCACACACACACGCATGCACGCACACAAACACACACACGGCGTCACACATACACACGCACACGCACGGCGTCACACGCGCGGTGTCACACACGCGCGGTGTCACACACACGCACGGCATCACACGCACGGTGTGTGTGTGCGTGTCTCCGTGCGCGTGTCTCCGTGTCTCCGTGCGCGTGTCTCCGTGTCTCCGTGCGCGTGTCTCCGTGTCTCCGTGTGTGTGTCTCCGTGTCTCCATGTGTCTCCGTGTGTGTGTGTCTCCGTGTCTCCGTGCGTGTGTCTCCGTGCGTGTGTCTCCGTGTCTCCGTGCGCGTATCTCCGTGTCTCCGTGCGCGTGTCTCCGTGTCTCCGTGCGCGTGTCTCCGTGTCTCCGTGTGTGTGTCTCCGTGTCTCCGTGTGCGTGTCTCCGTGTCTCCGTGTCTCCATGTCTCCGTGTGCATGTCTCCGTGTCTCCGTGTCTCCATGCGTGTGTCTCCATGTCTCCGTGTGCGTGTCTCCGTGTCTCCATGCGTGTGTCTCCGTGTCTCCATGTGCGTGTCTCCGTGTCTCCGTGCGCGTGTCTCCGTATCTCCGTGTCTCCGTGTCTCCGTGTCTCCGTGTGCGTGTCTCCGTGTCTCCGTGTCTCCGTGTGCGTGTCTCCGTGTCTCTGTGTCTCCGTGTGCGTGTCTCCGTGTCTCCGTGCGTGTGTCTCCGTGTCTCCGTGTCTCCGTGTCTCCGCGTCCCCGCGCGAGTCACCAGTGCACGCCGCCGTAGAAGAGCGAGAAGGCGACGTAGAAGATCAGCGTCCCCCACGTGACGAAGTGGTTCACCCACGTCCAGTAGCGAGTGTCCAGCGCCAGCTGGACACACGCGGGGTGGAGGGGGGGGCACAGGTGGTGCACCAGCCAGTCATCTCAGTCATCTCAGTCATCTCAGTCATCTCAGTCGTCTCAGTCATCTCAGTCGTCTCAGTCATCTCAGTCGTCTCAGTCGTCTCAGTCGTCTCAGTCGTCTCAGTCATCTCAGTCGTCTCAGTCGTCTCAGTCATCTCAGTCGTCTCAGTCGTCTCGGGCATCTCAGTCGTCTCAGTCGTCTCAGTCGTCTCAGTCATCTCAGTCATCTCAGTCGTCTCAGTCATCTCAGTCGTCTCAGTCATCTCAGTCGTCTCAGTCGTCTCAGTCATCTCAGTCATCTCAGTCATCTCAGTCGTCTCAGTCATCTCAGTCGTCTCAGTCGTCTCAGTCATCTCAGTCGTCTCAGTCATCTCAGTCGTCTCAGTCATCTCAGTCATCTCAGTCATCTCAGTCGGTCGTCTCAGTCATCTCAGTCGTCTCAGTCGTCTCAGTCATCTCAGTCGTCTCAGTCATCTCAGTCATCTCAGTCGTCTCAGTCATCTCAGTCGTCTCAGTCGTCTCAGTCGTCTCAGTCGTCTCAGTCGTCTCAGTCGTCTCAGTCATCTCAGTCATCTCAGTCGTCTCAGTCATCTCAGTCATCTCAGTCGTCTCAGTCGTCTCAGTCGTCTCAGTCATCTCAGTCGTCTCAGTCATCTCAGTCGTCTCAGTCGTCTCAGTCATCTCAGTCATCTCAGTCGTCTCAGTCGTCTCAGTCGTCTCAGTCGTCTCAGTCATCTCAGTCGTCTCAGTCATCTCAGTCATCTCAGTCGTTTCAGTCATCTCAGTCGTCTCAGTCGTCTCAGTCATCTCAGTCGTCTCAGTCGTCTCAGTCGTCTCAGTCGTCTCAGTCATCTCAGTCGTCTCAGTCGTCTCAGTCGTCTCAGTCGTCTCAGTCGTCTCAGTCGTCTCAGTCATCTCAGTCTCAGTCATCTCAGTCGTCTCAGTCGTCTCACTCGTCTCAGTCGTCTCAGTCATCTCAGTCTCAGTCATCTCAGTCATCTCAGTCGTCTCAGTCGTCTCAGTCATCTCAGTCGTCTCAGTCATCTCAGTCGTCTCAGTCGTCTCAGTCATCTCAGTCGTCTCAGTCATCTCAGTCGTCTCAGTCATCTCAGTCTCAGTCATCTCAGTCATCTCAGTCATCTCAGTCATCTCAGTCATCTCAGTCGTCTCAGTCGTCTCAGTCGTCTCAGTCATCTCAGTCGTCTCAGTCGTCTCAGTCGTCTCAGTCGTCTCAGTCATCTCAGTCGTCTCACTCGTCTCAGTCATCTCAGTCGTCTCAGTCGTCTCAGTCATCTCAGTCATCTCAGTCGTCTCAGTCATCTCAGTCGTCTCAGTCGTCTCAGTCATCTCAGTCATCTCAGTCGTCTCACTCGTCTCAGTCGTCTCAGTCGTCTCAGTCATCTCAGTCGTCTCAGTCGTCTCAGTCATCTCAGTCGTCTCAGTCATCTCAGTCTCAGTCATCTCAGTCATCTCAGTCATCTCAGTCATCTCAGTCGTCTCAGTCGTCTCAGTCGTCTCAGTCGTCTCAGTCATCTCAGTCGTCTCACTCATCTCAGTCGTCTCAGTCGTCTCAGTCATCTCAGTCATCTCAGTCATCTCAGTCGTCTCAGTCGTCTCAGTCGTCTCAGTCGTCTCACTCATCTCAGTCATCTCAGTCATCTCAGTCGTCTCAGTCATCTCAGTCGTCTCAGTCATCTCAGTCATCTCAGTCAGTCGACCCGTGGCACCACCTGGGTCTGCCCCGTGGACCTCCTGCCAGCGGGCGTTCGACACTTCACGTGATAGCCTCAAGGTGCACATGGCCTGGCACGAGCGTCGTGGTGGTGATGTCACTTCGTGGCGAATGGCGGTTGGTGTTGGTGTTGGTGTTGTTGTTGTTGTGTCTCAGCGTGGTCACCTTCAGGTTGACGGTCACCACCAGGACAGTGAACACCAAGGTGCCCAGCTCCCAGTGTCCAAACACCTGCAACGGAACGCGCGGACGCATTTCAGCCGGAGCAGACCTAGGGGAGCGAGGGGGTGGCCAGCATCGCGCCCGACCGCCTTTGTCTCTCCCTGGCGCCGGTGCGGGACTCCGCACCGGGTACACACGCGCTGGTGTACACACACACACACGCTGGTGTGCACACACACACGCGCTGGTGTACACACACACACACGCTGGTGTACACACACACACACGCTGGTGTGCACACACACACACGCTGGTGTACACACACACACACGCTGGTGTACACACACACACACGCTGGTGTGCACACACACACACGCTGGTGTACACACACACACACGCTGGTGTACACACACACACACGCTGGTGTGCACACACACACACGCTGGTGTACACACACACACACGCTGGTGTACACACACACACACGCTGGTGTGCACACACACACACGCTGGTGTACACACACACACGCTGGTGTACACACACACATGCTGGTGTACACACACACACACATGCTGGTGTAGACACACACACACACACTGGTGTACACACACACACATGCTGGTGTATACACACACACGCGCTGGTGTACACACACACACACATGCTGGTGTACACACACACACGCGCTGGTGTACACACACACACACATGCTGGTGTACACACACACACGCGCTGGTGTACACACACACACACACACGCTGGTGTACACACACACACGCTGGTGTACACACACACACACAGACATGGACTGGTGTACACACACACACACATACGCTGGTGTACACACACACACACTGGTGTACACACACACACGCTGGTGTACACACACACACACAGACATGGACTGGTGTACACACACACACACACACGCTGGTGTACACACACACACACTGGTGTACACACACACACGCTGGTGTACACACACACACACGCGCTGGTGTAGACACACACACACACGCGCTGGTGTACACACACACACACTGGTGTACACACACACACACATGCTGGTGCACACAAACACACACACGCTGGTGTGTAATACACACACACACGCTGGTGTATACACACAAACACGCTGGTGTATACACACAAACGCTGGTGTACACACACACACACGCTGGTGTACACACACACACGCTGGTGTACACACACACACACGTGCTGGTGTACACAGACACACGTGCTGGTGTACACACACACACGTGCTGGTGTACACAGACACACGTGCTGGTGTACACACACACACACCCGCTGGTGTACACACACACACGCTGGTGCACACACGCACACACCCGCTGGTGTACACACACGCTGGTGTACACACACACACACACGCTGGTGTACACACACACACCCGCTGGTGTACACACACACACCCGCTGGTGTACACACATACACACTGGTGTACACACACTTACGCTGGTGTACGCGCACACGCACGCTGGTGTACACGCACACACACACACTGGTGTACACATACACACACGCTGGTGTACACACACACACACACAGACACACAGACACACACACACACACGCACAGACACACACAGACACACACACAGACACACACACATAGACACACACACATAGACACACAGACACACACACAGACACACAAACACACAAACACACACACAGACACACACACAGACACACACACAAAGACATACACACAGACAGACACACACACACAGACACACACACACAGACACAACAACAACAACAACAACCGCCATTCGCCACTAAGTGGCGGTGACGTCACCCACGACGCTTGTGCCAGGCTATGTGCACCCTGAGGCCACGTGAAGTTGTCGAACGCCCGCTGGCAGGAGGTCACGGGGCAGACCCAGGTGCCACGGGTCGACTGACTGAGATGACTGGCTGATGCACCACCTGTGCCCCCTACTGTGCCAACCTGCTGTGCTTTAGCCACCCGGCGCTCCGCTCGCTGTTGTGAGCGTCGCTCCTTCCGCCCTCCGTTGTTGTTGGAGGGCGACTGCCTCCAACTGCCCAGTAGCATCCTTCACGAGCCTCCTCCACAGAGGCCGATCTTGACACCGCTGGTACCAGTCATCGGCAAGTCCACTCAGCTCCACGTCCTCCTGTACCACATCACTCCATCTCTTCTCTAGCCCGTGCCGCGCCCGCTTAGCCCCCTCAATCCGGCCAAACAAAAGCTGTTTCGGCATGCGGTGGCTGGGCATGCGGGCTACATGACCCAGCCATCGCAGCCTTGCCTGCCGGAGGAGCTCACCGATGGGACCCTGCCCAGATCTTTCAAGGATTTGTGAGCTCCTCACACAATCCAGTCTGGTTAAACCCAGGATGGATCGTAGGCAGGCCAGCCTAAATGTTTCTAACCGGCGAAGATGTTCCATTAGGGGGGTCCACGTTTCGCAAGCATAGAGAAGGGAGGGAATGACCGTGGCCGAGAAGACCTGAAGCTTAGTGCGGAGCGACAGACCAGGTAGCTTCCACACAGCGTTACGCAAACCGATGAAAAGATATTGCCGCTCGACTGATTCGGAGTGAGACCTCTGCTGTTAAACTGGAGCCAGTCATAAGCACACTGCCCAGGTATGGGAAACTCTCCACTCTCTCTCCACAACTGCCCCATCACCGATTGGGAGTTGTGGGGGTGGAGTGTCCGATGGTACAAAATACCCAGGCAGGTGCTTAGTTTTGGTGGGGCTGATGGTAAGGCCCCACCTCTTAGTGGCATGCTCCAGTCTCAGCAGCAGCGTCTCCAACTCCTCCTCTGACTGAGCAGCTATTACCAAGTCATCAGCATACATAACGTGGTTGAGCAATAGGGAGCCATCCCTTGACCGCACCCGGGCATCGATTAGCCTCCCATTATATCTGTACCATATGGAGATTCCCCCGGTACAGCTATTGAAGGCTTCACGAACTACGTGGTCAAAATAGATGTTAAATAATGTGGGAGCCAAAGGACATCCCTGTCGCACCCCAAGGTGTACAGGGAATGGCTCTGACTCCCGGCCACGTAGTTTTACCCGGGCCCGCTCACCATCATGAAGGTCCTTAATGATCGTGAGCAGAGGGTCAGGTACTCCAAAAGCACGAAGAACGACCCAGAGCCCAGGCCTACTGATGGTATCATAGGCCTTGACCAGGTCAATAAAGCAGAGATGTAGGTCTTGTTGGAATTCCCTACACCTCTGCTGTAGCAGACGGACAGAAAATATGGCATCTGTGCAGGACCGCCCTTTCCTGAAACCGCATTGGGGCTCCGCAAGCCTCTCCTCAGCGTGCCTGGCAAGGCGATGCTGAATAATCCTTGCCAGGGACCTTTCCCGGCACACTGAGGAGTGAGATGCCCCTGTAGTTGTTACAGTCTGTGCGGTCCCCCTTCTTAAAAGGGGGACCACCAGGGCATCCTTCCAATCCTGCGGAACCCGTCCAGTGGTCCAGACTGTTGTTATGATGTCATATAGGGCAGTCTGTGCACAAACGCCACCCTCCCTCAGCATTTTCGCTTGGGAGATCATCTCTGCCCGCTGCCTTTCCTGGTCTCAGACTCCGGATCGCCTTCAA